GGGTCTACAACTGGGGGGGGTCCTATACAGGGCCCACGTTATCAGGGCAAAACATCCTGATTACCTTGAATTCAGGATGCAGTTTTAAATTTACCCTGTCATTTCAGAATAGTTTCAATGTTTACCCTGAGGTCTCAGGATGTTTTTATCTGAAATGACCTGAACATTCAGGATTGCCGTGGTGTACTTCCCTGTAGCGTCAGGGTGAATGTCGAGGCCTACCCTGACGCATCTTTTGAGGGGAGGGGGGGTGTTCCCGTTTAGGGGGGGGATTTTTTCCCCGGGGATTTTTGTCTCCGTTGAAATTCTTCCCCGTGTATGTTTCCCTCCTTCGCACAATCTCTTCTCTTCCACGGTTGTGTTCCGATCCCCCGCGTGCTCTGCGCCATAGTCTCCTCGTGGACGGACAGCAGCGGCCCGCAAAAACCCACTCCCCTTCGCTCCCCGTTACCCTCCCTTCTCTCCCGCTAAAATCTGAACCCTGAACACTAATTTTTTTGCCCTGACAGGTCAGGATTAGTTTCTGCAAAAGCCCTGAACATACAGGAAGGCTTTGGGATTTTCCCCTGACAAATCAGGGCATTTTTTAAGATTCTAGAAAAGTGCCCTGAGGGCTCAGGGTGCCCCAAATCCTAGCACGGGCCCTGGTCCTATATACGGGGGATTACGGTATCATACCCCAGCTCAGAAGCGCTACTTGCACACCTATATCAGTGTGGAAATGATTCTAAATAGGGGAAGCAGGTACATGATAGCAATCACCGCATACTGCGGAACAGTGTACCAGAAAATGTCATACCCCAGCCTGCGAGCACTGTAGCGCTCCCCATGAGCGGCGCGAAAGACCACCCACACCGCGCCAAGTGCTGCTGCTACCGTGCCACCTTCAAACAGCGTGCAGAGGAACATGGACGTGATAAATGACGGCTGTGATTGTAACAAGAGGTTTGGGGGGGGAGGGGGAGGGGGGGGGGGGGGGGGGGGGGGGGAGGGAAAGGAAGTTGGAGAGGGGAAGGGAAGGCAGAATTGGGGGGTTGCGCGTGGCTGTGTTTTAGGGAATGGGGGGGAAGTGGTCAGGTGGGTATCGGGATGGCAGAGGGAAAAGTGAAAACCTATGCAGATACATAATTGTTTCTAGACTCGAGATCTTGAGGAGCCTCTTAATAAGCCTGGACTACACGTCAGAACGTCCAGCACATTCTAACGGCCAGACGAAGGCGGCTCCGAAGAAGTATAGACGGTACTTCATAGTCAAACACGTACGAATTGCTCCACGAAGTTAGCCTGCACGCGGATCACGCGGTCAAAGTCGGGATTGCCGGACATGACGGGCGCGAAAATGCGGTACTTCAGGCGCGCCGCGCGGACGCCCAGTAGAGTCTGCGGAAGGGAAAGTAAGGGAAAGCGCGTGGGGACGGGGGGGGAGGAGGGAGGGAAAGAGGAGGGGGGGACGGAAACTGCGGTTTCCTGATGCACGCTCGACCAACATTGGAACATGTAACGTTGTCATCTGACGAAATATGATCGAGCGGCGCGCTTTTCACCCGGCCCATGCGATTCCGGAAGTTAACCATGGAAGCGCTTCCTCCTCATGCACTATATGAGGTCTGTACCCTCGTAACCTCGGGAAAAAAATACGGGAGTTAGAAGAAATGACTAGCTGGTAGAGGAGGCATGGTGTGACCTAGTACCCGCATGTAGACGAGGTGCGACGCGAACGCGACGAGCGCTGGTAGTTTGAACTCCTCGCGCAGCGCGAATAACGCCGCTGCGTTTTCCGCCATGTTAGGTTTTTTCGGCTATCAAGTTGTACAGTCCACAGACACTGGAACCACGGGAGAGCAAACAAAATCGGCGCAAGAAACAGAGCTTCACGAGATGATTTTATAGGAGAGACACGAATAACGGAGGAGCAACAGAGGAAGCTAAACTGATGGTTGTGGCGAGTGCCGTGCATGTCAATCCAGCAAGTAAGCCAATCGCGACACGCCATTTTCGGAAATGCGCACGGGAATTGATCAGACTGGGGCCCCGGGTTAGCAGAAACAGTGCCAACTTGGGGCCTCGTGAGTCGCGACCCTACGAAATAGGCCCGAAGCAAATCACAAGACTGGGCAGCAGGTCCGAACCTGGCAAACTCGCCAGGTCACCACCTACTGCCTTGGGTTTGACGGAAATCGCTAGCACCCCACACCGCTGGAAGCACAACAATCCGTCAAACCAACACAGTCTGATCGAGATACAGCACAAGCAGCATGTAACAAACAACTCGGAATTATTACGGAAACATAAGACTGCCAGAACACAAAGAGCTGAAACATGAAAATTAATAAAATGAGTGGGCACAAAATGGGGAGGTTCATGACCTTTTTCTGTTAGAGAAATTTCAACCAACCTACCCACATTCTTTCAGAATATGTATACATACATATATGATTTACATGCAAGTGCTTCCCTTGTAAAATCTTCGATGAAAAATCTTCTACCGTATTCCCCCGGATATACCACCCTAGGGTGCTATGATAACTACACAAAAAAAAGGGGGGGTCTTGTCATCGGAAAAAGCTTCATTGCACCCGGGTCTTTACATAATGTGTATTTTTTTTATAGCGTAAAACGATTAGTACTAAATGTACATCTGTATTTTTGTTTTACATCTGTACTAAATCGTTTTACGCTATAAAAAAAATACACATTATGTAAAGACCCGGGTGCAATGAAGCTTTTTCCGATGACAAGACCCCCCCTTTTTTTTGTGTAGTTATCATAGCACCCTAGGGTGGTATATCCGGGGGAATACGGTAGAAGATTTTTCATCGAAGATTTTACAAGGGAAGCACTTGCATGTAAATCATATATGTATGTATACATATTCTGAAAGAATGTGGGTAGGTTGGTTGAAATTTCTCTAACAGAAAAAGGTCATGAACCTCCCCATTTTGTGCCCACTCATTTTATTAATTTTCATGTTTCAGCTCTTTGTGTTCTGGCAGTCTTATGTTTCCGTAATAATTCCGAGTTGTTTGTTACATGCTGCTTGTGCTGTATCTCGATCAGACTGTGTTGGTTTGACGGATTGTTGTGCTTCCAGCGGTGTGGGGTGCTAGCGATTTCCGTCAAACCCAAGGCAGTAGGTGGTGACCTGGCGAGTTTGCCAGGTTCGGACCTGCTGCCCAGTCTTGTGATTTGCTTCGGGCCTATTTCGTAGGGTCGCGACTCACGAGGCCCCAAGTTGGCACTGTTTCTGCTAACCCGGGGCCCCAGTCTGATCAATTCCCTTATATATACCAAGTTTCCCACTTACAAAGGATTACAAACATTGAGCATGCATGTACGTGATGTGAATGTTGACTTCACATGCCCAACATTCGTATAAGGATTCATGTCCCAAGGCCCAGATTTTAGGATTTGTGCAGGCATGGAAATTTCTAATCCCTTATTTATATGGTTCCAGGTTAGCGAGTTATATAACGCCCATCTAAAACGAACTATTTGTGAAACTATTGAGCAAACTTTGCATACTTAACTTGATAATGATAGTAGGTTCTTTGATTATATTACCTGCCTGAGTGTTTACAATAGAATTTGAGATAGTTGGTTCAGAGATGTACGCGCTTGAAAAAAGTGCCTAGGAGTGTTGTTCGCCTAACCAAAGCGGGCTGTGAAAGTTCTGTGTGAAGTGTGTGAAATGAACACGTCAAGAACGAAATCGTGCACATCAATTTGTCTTTATCTGGCACTCGCATGTCCAGTTGGCCTTGATATTTACTGTGTATGATATGCAGAGAATCTGAACAGATTGTGCCTTGAACTGTACTTTTCTTTTTTCATCACAGTTCGCGCAACTTATCTCTGACCGTTGAAATTGGCCGAGAAATGATACTTCTTGCAGATGTCGAATGGGAGGCCCTGCCTGATAGGGTCGTCAAACCGACTCCCCCAACCGAATGCCTTGCTTGACCTGCTATGCCTACAGTGTAGATATGGTGCGAGCGAGGGCTCCCCACTTTGCCACCCTGCCATTTTGAGGTGGCTGGTGGCTGGTGTTCTTTCCCAAATTCCTTTATTGAGGCTGGGTCAATCTCTGCCCTCACATGGGGCACCTGGAGTTTGTACGATATGTTGTCTTTCTGAAAGTGATTCGGCCATAAAAGGGAAAATTTTTAAACAGCGGACCCCGACCCAGACCCAGCAGCGAAACAACGGACAGTACTGATCGTTAGCGGTGGGACGGGCCTGTGTGGAACGAGGGGACGGATCGACCGTCAAGCAGCTTTCTCCCCGGCAACCCCTTGACTAGTTCTGTACCCCAAGCTCGGGGCGATTTGAGAGGTTCTATCCAGCCCATATTCCTCACGATTTGTGGACTGATAGCTGTTACAGTGTACAGTACAACAGAACCTCTAGGACCTTGCAACCGTAGTTTCGAAGGGGAATCACTTTCAGTGGATTTGATCCCACAAGAACTCTCTACACGCGGCAAAATGAGTAACTTCTGTATTTTTTACAACGCAGATCATTCCGAGGGACGATCCAGTTCTCAGGGAAAGTTTCCCCACAGGAATGATGAGCATGCTCGCCTCGCCGCGTAAAATTTGGGACCACATTGCAACGCGCTTTCGGGCATCGATTCGCAGATTTGACACCGCCTCGTACAGTAACATGCTCCGATTCGCCCCACAAGCACACCCCTCCTCCCCCCCTCTCCCATGTCCCCGTTGCGTCCGGCCCCCCACAACCAGCTGGCAGCCCTGCATTTGGCCCTCCAGCCTCGAATCTAAACCAGAATTGAATTCCGTTTCTTGCTGCTGCTCACACGTCAAATCTGGGCCAAAAGGGCCCAACTTTTTCGGTTCATGGCTCGAAGCCAGTTCTGTTTTTGTGGACAACCGTGGTCTCCGTACGTGAACAACTCGCAATCAGACGAAGGAAGGCGTTCCAGATAGGTATCCCTTCCAACGATTTAGTAGCAAGCACATTTCTTTACTTTCCCATTCGGAATGATCGCCAACGGTGTCGACACGTTTTACGCTGATCCAACTGCTGCGGTCTTCGTTTCAGACAGCACCAATACCCTCGCCGCGCAACCCGCAGCATACTCGAATATCGACGCGAAGAGAGCATCACACATCGCCGTTTTGCGGCGCGGCGAGGGAAAACTTCCCGAACTTTGGGATGATATGCGCGTCTCGAACGAATTCAGCAGTGACGTGGCGGCGGGTGAGCTGGAGGATATTATTCTCCGCGCCGCTTCGTCGTCAGCCGTTCCGAATGTAACCTTGCCATGGTCGCTCGATGCCGTGGTTCCCGCCGCGACCACCGCAACCACAGCTGGTTGGACTAGCGGAATCTCGTATTACACAGCCCAAGCTGACGCAGGGACACTGCCGCAAGACGCGCCGCAAAACACGGCGCTGCATAACACGGCGCCGCAGCAGTTTCACCAGGAGTGGTCGAATGGCGGCGCATGGACGAACAGCGGACGCGGCGAGTATCAGTTGGGAAACGCGGCTGGGTGGGCTCCCCCTGATTTCCAGGGAATCAGCCGACAAAACGCCAGCACTGCAAGTACGATCGCTGACACGGTAATCAATGAACGCACGGACGATGATTTCGCAACCGGCGGCGACGGGATGCCGCAGCTTTGGTCACAGGGTGCCGGCGGAACCGCCGCAACCGCCGCCGCCGTCGGTATTAGTAGTAGTCGCGCCGCGAGACACGACGGCGGCGGCGGCTTCAGTCCCAGCCACCTCCCCGCCATTCTTCGCTCCCTCGCGGCGCATCAGCAGGCCGTTGAGGCGCTCGCGCCGCTCGTTGCCGAGCCGCAGCGCCAGGCTGGTGAGTGGGATGGGCGCACGGGGGAAGCCGCCGCCAGCGCCGCCGCCGAATGGCGCAGTTCCGCCAGCATGGCCGCGGCGGCGGCGGCGGTGCCGCAAGCGCCGGGGTTTCTTCCGGCGGAAGGCGTTTTCCCCCCGCTTCCCCTCACGCGGCCCGCTCCCGCAGCTTTGTTCCAGCGCTCCCCCCGCTCCGCCGCGCTCGCCGCCGCTTTCCCCGCCACCTCCTCTTCCGCCTCGTCCGCGCACCTTGCTGCATCCGTCGCCGCGTCACTCGCCGGGGAGCGCCTCGCCTTGGTAGCACAAGAGGGCTTCACAGGAGGCGGGATGAGTTTCGAGTTGTCTCAGGAGCAACAACAATCCCAGACACTACTAAAACACGGTTTGGCAGGAGGCGGGAGGAGTTTTGAGACGTCTCAAGAGCAGCAACGACCGCAAGCATTACCAGGAGGCGGTTTGGCAGGTGGCGGGATAGTGTCTAAAACGAGCGCGGCAGAGGGGACGGCGGAACCTGCAGCGGCGCAGAGTCCACAGAACCCGAGCGCCATTGACGCTCTGGCCTCCATGATCCTGGTTGCTGCGGCAGCGGCGGGCGGGCAAGGGGGGGGATTCGCGGGTCCGCCGCAGGGGGGAGTGGGCGGTGGTACCAGCGTTGGCGCTGGTGGTGGTTCCAGCGCTGACGGTGGTGGTGGTGGAATGGATGGTGGTGATGCAACTGGGGGAATATGGGGGGCAATGGGGGGAGGAACAGGTGGGGGAATGGGCGGGGGGATGGTTGGGGGAGTGGGAGGTGAGGTTGACGAGTGGCACAATACTGATGCGGTGGGTAAGGGGGAAGCAGGTGTAGGTTGGCATGGCTACGGGGATGGGTATGAGGATGTTAAGTTACAGAGAAGGAACACGGCAACCAGCGTCACTGGAAACATGGGAGGGAGCATGGGCAACATGGGAAACATTGGTGACATGATCGGTAGTGCCAGTGCAGATACAGACAATCGCTGCCACACCGCCGCAGCCACTAACCCAGCCACTACCACCGCCACTGCTCCTGCCACTGCCAGTGCCGTCGCGAAACGATTCCGCAGGAGCAGCAGCAATGCTGCCGGCAGCAGCGCCATCGCACCCCTCTTTGAAGCACATCAAAATCCTAGTACACCCCTGTCATCTCCACAGAACCTGCGCCTGCCTGCTGCTAACGCAGCATTGCCTCTCTCCGCGCAATTTCCTCAGAGCCTCCGGGAGCAGCTACAGCAGCAGCTACAGCTGCAGGAGCTGCAGCGGCAGACCAGCAATTTAAGCGGCAGTGTCAGTGGTGGCGGCGGCGCGAGTGGCGGTGGTGCGAGCGGCGGTGCTGCTAGCGGTGGGGAGGGGCGTCCCTGGGCTGGCACCAACACCACCACCACCTCACTTGGAGGAATGGCCGTTGCGGTTTCTGGGGCATTCTCGCAGCACACACAGACAACCCTCAACGCCCCCTCGCCCCTCCCCACCTCCCCCCAACCTGCTGCCAATCCCCTTCACCCTCCGCGTTCCACTTTTCCCCCTAGCGGGCCCCCAGATTCACCGCTAGCAGATGAGAAACCAATTGCAGCGGCCCAAGCAACTGCTGATTTGGGCAGGAAGCGGCAAGCGAGAGGGGAGACTCGGAAACGCGGCCGGGGAGGCGAGAGAGGAGGCAGAGCGGCAGGCGGGAGGCAGCAGGGAGGGAGTGAAGGGGCGTGGGAGGGAGAGCCGAGAGGTGCGGGGGCTGGAGGAGCTAGTGCTTCTGTGGAGGGGTTTGAAGATGGGGAAGGTGTGGAGGGAACGCGGATTCTAGGAAGGGTGTCTGGCGCATGTCTTGCTGCCAGGGTGAGTCGGCACAACTTTGGAAATTCAAGAGCATAACTCGAACAAAGCATGGGCTGTTGTGGTTTGAGTTGGGCATTGGGAAGCACATCTGGAATCTGCTTTTGAGTCGACTCAAAAGCTGTTGTGGTTTGAGTTGGGCATTGGGAAGCACATCTGGAATCTGCTTTTGAGTCGACTCAAAAGCTGTTGTGGTTTGAGTTGGGCATTGGGAAGCACATCTGGAATCTGCTTATGAGTCGACTCAAAAGCTGTTGTGGTTTGAGTTGGGCATTGGGAAGTACATCTGGAATCACAATTGTCCCCCCTGTAATCTCTCTGCAATCTCTCTTCTCCTCCCCACTCCCTTCTTCCCGTGCAGAAGCGGAGGGAGCGCATAGCGAGTCAGATGCGCACGCTGCAGCGGCTGGTGCCGGGCAGCAGTCGAGTGGACACCGTCTCTGTTCTCTCCGACACCATCCGCTTCCTCTGCAGCCTCATTCACCAGATTCAGGTGCGTGCAGGGGGCACATCTAGTGCAGCGCACATATGCACCCATCACAGCACATATCTCCCTGCTGACATGCCCTATAGCTTTCACCATGACCTGAAGCTCTTGGACTGCTTGCTCCTGTCCTTCACGCAATGACAGACCCTCCTCCTTTGTGGATGCCATTTGTCTTTCTCCCCTGTGGCAGTCGCTAGGAGCAGAGCCGGAGGGGTATTCCACAACAGAGGCGGTGGAAGCAGCAGCAGCAGAGGTGCAAAAGCTGATTCGAGACGGCGTGATAGCAAGCCCCCGTCCTCCAGCCACTCAGAGAGGCCCTCATGAAGGTGCTACAGCTGCAGAAGCGAATGTGGTAGCAGGCCTGCCTGTAGCAGCAGGGGCGGCTGTAGCAGCAGCAGGCAGGACTAAAGAAGCAGGCGGAGATGTAGCGATTTCCAGCCCCCCACAAGGCAGTGCACACACGTCCTCCCACGGACCCTCCCAGTCAATGCTTCCCACTGTCTCCACCACTTCGCCCTCATTGGATCGATCCCTGGCCCGTGGCGACGGTGATGCTGCTAGTTATGCTGATGCCTTTGCAGATGCTGATGCCGAAGCTGATGCTGATGGTACCAAGGATGGCGATGGAGGGGAGCGAGATGGTGACATGGAGAAGGGTTCTTGGTCCCTCCTCCACAAGAATGCCTAGATCAGCCCTGTACATATCACTACCGTAGCAGCTCTTGCTGAAACCCATTTTTTCATTTGTTGGTGATGAGATGACCCCATTGCACTGGCTGAACTGAAGCCCCCTGTTGGGCCACATCTAGCTGCTCGACCTCACATGTATCAAGCACCCATGGTTGACCAGGAACAACAAACACATTTTTGACGAGGGTGTGAGAGAAACAACAATTTATCCACAGCGTGACGGGACAACAGCGCAGTCGGGGTGTAAGGTGTCACGAGTCAACTGTCATGGGGCCAGCACCCAAGGCATCCAGCTGAGTGGGCGGTGGGGGGGTTGCTGCTCTGTCCCCCCCACCCCCTGTTGCCACAGACGGCCTACTAGCACCCATCAGCACCCCTCCTCCTCCCGCTCCTCCTCCCCCTCCTGCTGCCACCACTGCTGCGAGCTCTCTGGAAGGGTCCTCCTCCAATGCTCCTTGTAACTCCTCCATCTGCGCGTGGAATGAAAGGTGACAGACACACAGAATGAACACAGTAAGACACAAGCACCACACCTCCTGCTCCTCCCCCTCCTGCTGCCACCACTGCTGCCAGTTCTCTTGAAGGGTCCTCCTCCAATGCTCCTTGTAACTCCTCCATCTGCGCGTGGAATGGAAGGTGACAGACACACAGAATGAACACAGCAAGACACAAGCACCCCACCTCCTCCTCCTCCCTCTCCTGCCGCCACCACTGCTGCGAGCTCTCTTGAAGGGTCCTCCTCCAATGCCCCTTGTAGCTCCTCCATCTGCCCATGGAATGGAAGGGGGCAGATACACAATGAATACAGTAAGACAGAAGCACCCCACCTCCTCCTGCTCCCCCTCCTCCTGCCGCCACCACTGCTGCGAGCTCTCTTGAAGGGTCCTCCTCCAATGCTCCTTGAAGCTCCTCCATCTGCCCATGGAATGGAAGGTGACAGACACAGAATGAATACAGTAAGACACAATAACCCCACCTCCTCCTGTTCCCCCTCCTGCCGCCACCACTGCTGCCAGTTCTCTTGAAGGGTCCTCCTCCAATGCCCCTTGAAGCTCCTCCATCTGCCCATGGAAGGTGGCAAATACACTGATTGAGTACAGTACAACACGCACACAATAATATGATTACTTGGCGTTTACTCCAAAACAGTGAGCACAGCAGCAAGACAAATTGGTACCTCCGCAGGTTCACCACCCTTTCCCCACACCCACCCTTTCCCCACACCCACGCTTCCCCCAGCACCGCCTCCACCTCCGCCTCCAGCGTCACTACGCGCGAGCAGCGCCCTCTCTTTCCCCCGCTCCCTCCCCTCCCCCTTCCCCCAACTCCCCCCTCTCCCCCTTTTCCCCATGCACTCAACGTGTGCAGCAGCAACGCGAATTGCTTCCGCCGTAGCTCCACCACCCGCCCCGCGCCCACGTTCTCCGCCTCTAGCGCCTCCACCTCCGCCTCCAGCGCCGCAATCCGCGAGCAGCGCCCCCATTCCCCCCACTTCCCCCCCTCCCCCATCCCCCGCACCCACCCCCCCCCCTCCCCCATCCCCCCCACTCCCCCCCATCCCCTACCCCCCCCTTCACTCACAGTGTGCAGCAGCAACGCGAATTGCTTCCGCCGTAGCTCCACCACCCGCCCCGCGCCCACGTTCTCCGCCTCTAGCGCCTCCACCTCCGCCTCCAGCGCAGCGATCCGCGCCTCCGACACCGCGCGCGCGGGCTGCGCGGCGATCTGCCGCCGCACCAGCTCGCACTCCTCCTCGTGCTGCCGCTGCCTCCGCGCCTCCGCCTCCTCCGCCATCAGGCTATCCACTCGCGCCACCGCCTGATGTTGATGCGCGCGGGAGGGCGGGACGGGGAGGGGAAAGGGGAGAGGAGGAGGAAAGGGGATGGAATGGGGAGGAGTGGGGAGGAAGGGGGGCGAAGAGGGAGATCTGGTCGCGGTTGAGAGGAGGAATTGACGAGGAAAACGGACGAGGTGGATTCGACGAGAGAAATCGACCAGGAAGATTTGACGAAAAGCAATCCCAGAGTCGTCACACGGCTATCTATCGCACCTCGATAATATCCGCTTCTAGCTGTTTCGTCAGCTCGTGAAAGTGCTCCTGCTCGCGGCGGTTAGCGTTGATCACGGCGCGAGACATGTTTAGAGGCTGCTCAAATCCCGCCAATTCGTGCAGCACGGAGCGCGCTAGTCTCTCGCAGTCAGCTATGCTGCTGTCGGGCCGCGCCGCTTCTGACGTGAAAGCGAGGAATTTCTTTAGGAGCTTTTTCATCGGCGGCTCACCGCGAGTGACGGAGGTCCGAGTAAGCAGCCGCTGACGTATGATGGCGTCATCTTCCTGCGGGCCTACCGCAAAATGCGCCGCCATGAATGCAAAACACGAGGATGCTTTCGGGTCGATAAGAGGACTACGAACCGCGGATGCTGGAAGACTCAAACTCGAGGTCAACAACACGTCGTCTGTCGTTCCGAACTAATTACCAACGTGCTGCTCCGAGCACCCGTCCCGATCCGTAGCTACTAGACAACGTGGATACTGAACGAAACCCTAATTTGCTAGAACGGTATCGTGACCTATACGTGTAACGGCTCGTGAATTCGAGCTCTGGAACCCTAACACGCAGAGCACACTACTAGGGAAGCGTGATCCAGCAGAAATAGTGGCTGCGTAACTAGGCCGCTTGACATTCATGCGAAGTTCTAGGTTGCGATATAGCTTCGCTTCGGTTGGGGTAGTAGACAGAAGCGCCCGTTCACACTTGCTCTTCCTGAAAAGGGTGGAAACAGGCGCTGTAGTGTCGAAGTTTTTACACTGGTCGTTGCGAAGGTGTTTTGGTGGGGAACCCGAACACGTCAGCTGTTGACTGGTCATATGTGTGCTGCAGGACGGAGCCACATCAGCAGTGAACTCCCCCTAGACGAATCGCGAATTTCAGCTGGCGAAACATGGAGATGTTCGATGAAACTGAATACGGCTGCGAAACCGCAAGCTCTTGCGGCCACACTTGTGATCGCGCCCTCAGTCCCATTTCCCTTCGAATTTTTCCCCAGCTTCAGATTCCTACTTTTTACATCTCGCCTTCCCAAATTTCCATTTCTCATTATCACTCATCTCATTTACCACTTATCTTCCTTCCATTCGTCCCAGTAGCACCAACGCTGCTAGCATTGCCTGTCGCGTTACTAAGATTGGCGACGGATCGGCTTTTGCGGAATTTGCGAGGTGAACCCCTAAAGGTTCTCGTTTGAATCACGAGCACGTCAGGCATCGCCATCTCTGAAACATCCCGAGAATTCTCGAGAAGTCATCCGTTAGAATCAGGCAGCACAGCAGGCATCGCCATGGCTGACGCGAAGCCGCAGACCCTCCGCGCGTGGCTGCACTCCGCCTTCAAGTCGCGCGGCAACGCGGAGGCCATCGTCGTCACGCAGGGAGGCCCCGCCGTGACTCACGCCGCGCTCGAGGCGGCGGTGGATGCGGTGGCAGCGCAGCTAAGGGCGCTGGGAGTGCGACCCGGCGATCTCGTGTCCCTCGCCTTCCCTAACTCCCTCGAGGTACTCGTTAGTGGTCGTGGTGCAAGTTACGGGTCTACTCAAAACGCGTTGTGCAGGTTTTCTTTCTCTTGTGATTTGCCGTCAATATTGTTTCATATCATCGCATAATTTTAGTATCATTAAAAAAAATCCGTATTGGGCTTCTAAAGCTGTCAGGATCTTTGTCATTCTCTCGATATTGCGAATCTCCTTCCATGATGTTACCATCCTTCTATCCTCTCCCTACCATCCTCCTCCCCCCTTCTCTGCCCCTCCTTTCCCCCGCTCCAACACCCCATCCTCCCCTCCCCACCCCTCACCTTGCAGTTCGTGATCCTTTTCCTCGCAGTAACTCGCGTACGCGCCACAGCAGCTCCGCTAAACGCAGCGTACACGGAGGAGGAGTTCAAGTTCTATATGGAGGACGCGCAGGCGCGCCTGCTGCTGCTGCCCGAGGGCGGCACTCCCAAGGCCCAGGCGGCCGCTACCGCCTTGGGAGTACCGGTGGCGCATGCTGGGAGCTACGGAGGCGAGGTGAGATGAGATGAGATGAGCTACTGCTTCACCACGGCTTTGCAAACATAAACTGCTGCCTGAGAGCGCTCCTGCTTTCCAGAGCGCTATTGCCGTCTGAGAACTCCCCATACCTCCTTTTTCAGATGGCCTCCCTCCCTCGCTTCCTCCCTCCAACCCACCACCCCCCTCCTCCCTCCCGCCTCGTCTCACGCTCTCTCTCCCTCTCAGGAAGGAGTCCCCCTGCGCCCCTCTGAAGGCCTCTCCGCCCTCCCACCCGCCGACATCCCCGACGGTCCCGGCCCCGGGCCCACACCCGACCCCGCTGACGTGGCACTCTTCCTGCACACGTCAGGCACGACGAGCCGCCCAAAAGGCGTGCCGCTGACACATGGCAACCTGGCAGCATCCATAGGGAACATCATTGACACATACGACCTCACTTCTGCCGACCGGTCTTACCTAGTCATGCCTCTGTTCCATGTGCATGGGCTTATGGCTGCTCTGCTCGCCTCTCTCTCCTCTGGGGGTTCCGTGGTTCTCCCTGCTTCTGGCCGATTCTCCGCGTCGACTTTCTGGGACGAAGTGGTGCAGAGCGGTGCCACGTGGTACACCGCGGTGCCGACGATGCACCAGATCCTCCTCTCCCGCCACCGCTCCCACGGCCCACCCACCCTCTCGGGAAAACCCCAGGAGAAACCTCAGGTGGAATCTCAGGGGGAATCCGCCGCCCCTGTTGCTGCCTACCCACCTCTGCGTTTCATCCGCAGCTGCAGTGCCAGCCTGGCAGCAGCAGTGCTGGAGGAAATGGAAACAGTCTTCGGCGCTCCTGTGCTCGAAGCCTATGCTATGACCGAAGCAAGCCACCAAATGACTGCCAACCCCCTCCCTTCCAAGGGCCCCCATAAGGCTGGATCGGTTGGGTTGCCGACAGGAATCGAACTCGCGATCTTGGACGAGCAGGGGAGGGAGCTGGGGGTGGGGGAGCGTGGCGAGGTGTGCATTCGCGGGGCGAACGTTACAGCTGGTTACCACAGCAACCCGGCGGCGAATGAGGCGGCGTTTGCCTTCGGGTGGTTCCACACGGGAGACGAGGGGAAGAGGGACGAGGAGGGGTACTTGTACCTGACGGGGAGGCTCAAGGAGTTGATCAACAGGGGTGGGGAGAAGATCTCGCCTCTTGAGGTGGATGCTGCACTGCTGGCTGTGAAAGGGGTTTCTGAGGCCGTTGCTTTCTCTGCGCCTGATGCCCACTACGGGGAAGAGGTGAGCTTGTGTGGAGAAGAGGTGGGTAGCTCAGACTTTTAGGCACCTCGGAAGAGGTGAGTGGGTCAAGCAAGGAAGGGAGGGGAAGAGGGACGAGGAGGGGTACTTGTACCTGACGGGGCGACTCAAGGAGCTGATCAACAGGGGTGGGGAGAAGATCTCGCCTCTTGAGGTGGATGCTGCACTGCTGGCCGTGACAGGGGTCTCTGAGGCTGTCGCCTTCTCTGCTCCTGATGCCCATTATGGGGAGGAGGTGAGTGAAGAGTGGAGGGAAAGAGGTGAGGGGGTGTGGGGAAGAGGTGAGGGGGTGTGGGGTAGAGGTGAGGTGGTATGGGGAAGAGGTGAGGGGGTGTGGGGAAGAGGTGAGGTGGTATGGGGAAGAGGTGAGGTGGTATGGGGAAGAGGTGAGGTGGTATGGGGAAGAGGTGAGGTGGTATGAGGAAGAGGTGAGGTGGTATGGGGAAGAGGTGAGGTGGTATGGGGAAGAGGTGAGGTGGTATGGGGAAGAGGTGAGGTGGTATGGGGAAGAGGTGAGGTGGTATGGGGAAGAGGTGAGGTGGTATGGGGTACCTCAGGATTTTAGGCGCGTCAGAAGAGGTGAGTGGGTCAAGCAAGAGAGAGGCGGGGGGAGAAGGATGAGGAGGGGATGAGAAGATCTCGCCTCTTGAGGTGGATGCTGCACTGCTGGCCTGACAGGCGTGGCTGAGGCTGTTGCCTTCTCTGCTCCCGATGCTCACTACGGGGAAGAGGTGACAGGGAAGAGGTGGGTATTCTCAGACTTCTATGCGTGTCATATTCCCTTCCCGTGCGCCCCACTTCCCACGCCCTTCACCATAGTACTCCTTCCCCTCCTCCCCCCCACCTCTTTTTCCTCCACACCCGCTCCTCCCTGTCACTCCCCGCGATCAGGTGAATGCAGCAGTGGTGTTGGAGCCAGGTGTTTCGCTCACCCAGGAGGAGGTGCAGGAGCACCTGAAGAATCACCTGGCGGCGTTCAAGCTGCCCAAGCGCGTCTTCTTTGTGGACCATCTCCCCCGCACCGCCACCGGCAAGATCCAGCGCCGCTTTGTTGCCCAGGCCATGCTGGGAGGAGGAGACAGCGCTGCTGCTCCTGCTCCTGCTGCAGCTCCGGCTGCTGCTGCTGCTGGTACTGCGTGATTCTAGTTGGTCGTTTGCAGGTGTAGTGGGTAGGTTGAACTGCCCTCCCCCGCACGGCCACCGGCAAGATCCAGCGCCGCTTCGTTGCCCAGGCCATGCTTGGGGGAGGAGAGGCTGCTGCTGCTGCCGCTGCACCTGCTGCCGCCGGTACTGCATGACTCTAGCTGCTCCTTAGCAGGAGAGTTGGCTGGTTGCAGCTGGAACTGCCCTGCTCCGCTACCGGCCATGCTCTCAGGCCTACTGGCTCTTAGCTGGCGCTTAGCTGGCGCTTAGTTGGCGCTTAGTTGGCGCTTAGTTGGCGCTTAGTTGAGCTGGTTACTAGCGGGTGTGGAAGAGCAGGGGCGCTATGGAAGGAGTGTGTGACGATGAACACTGATGCGTGAAAACAAAACGATGGATGTTTTTTTTGCAAAAAGTCTGATGGTGAATCGTTTCACTGCTGCGACATGCAAACATGCAATCTGTCTTGGTCTGTGCTTCCGGTGTTGTGTTGGCAGGCTCGAGTCGGAGTTGGAACCTCTTGTTCTTTCATTTGTCCCATCCCCCCCATCCCTGTTCTCCTCTTGTCACGTGTCCTGTTTGTCACCCCTCTTCTTCCCTGTGCGTCTGCCACAACTCATTTAACCACCCTGCCCCCTTCACAGCACACCCTCCCCCTCAAAAGCCTGTTCCCTTTCCCTCGCTTGCCCCACCCCACCTTCTTTCCCCACCTGCCACGCCCCCCTCCAGCAACCCCCTCCCCCACAACATCCTCCACCACTCTAGACGCCCCTTCCCTCATCGCCCTCTCTCTCGCTCGTCTCGGCGTCACCCACCTGTTCGGCGTCATCGGCATTCCCGTAACCGCCGTCGCCACAGCAGCACAGCAGCAGGGAATCCGTTTCCTCTCCTTCCGCAACGAGCAGGCAGCAGGCTACGCTGCAGCAGCCTACGGGTACCTCACAGGAACCCCCGGCGTGCTGCTTACTGTGTCAGGCCCAGGGTGTGTGCATGCACTAGCAGGTGTGAGTCATGCTCAGGTGAATACCTGGCCTCTGTTGCTGCTCTCAGGGTCGTGCACTCAGGGGGACGTGGGTCAGGGGGATTTTCAGGAGTTGGATCAGGTGGGAGTGGTTCGTCCGTTTGTGAAGGAATACGGGCGGGCGAAGAGGATTGAGGAGATCCCAGGGGTAGTGAAGCTGGCGGCGGAGGCTACAGTGGCCGGCCGGCCTGGTGCGGCGTATGTGGACCTTCCAGCTGACGTGCTGCACGGGAGTATCTCCGAGGAAGATGCGAGGAAGCTTCTGGAGGACGTGAAGCCGCTGGTTCCGCTCTGGCGCACCGCTCTGGACCCCTCTGCACCGCTTGCAACAGCGCTCGAGTCGAGTATCACAGAGGCTATTGGTTTGCTGAGGGAAGCTAAGGCACCGCTGCTGGTGGTGGGGAAGGGAGCAGCATACGCTCATGCTGAGAAGCAAATAGCAGCACTGGTGGAATCGACAGGGATTCCTTTTCTTCCCACACCCATGGGGAAGGGTGTTTTGTCCGATTCGCACCCGCTGTGCGTCTCTGCTGCTCGCTCATTGGCTCTTTCTCAAGCTGACGTGGCACTTGTGGTCGGCGCGAGGCTCAACTGGATCCTGCATTTTGGCCAGCCGCCAAAATGGGCGGCGGGAGTGAAGTTTGTCCTGGTGGATGTGGACGAAAGCGAGGTGGCGCAGAGGCGGCCGGCGGTGGGGCTGGTGGGCGATGCCCGGGTGGTGGTTGGGCGGCTTGCAGCGAGGTGGGCGGTGGAAGGAGGGCAGAAGCTTCCAGAAGACAACCCCTGGGTGGCAAAGTTAAAGGTAAGCAAGCTGAGACTCCTCCGTCACAGGTTAGGTCTTGTCTCTTGTCTTTTCAGGTTTCCCATTGCTTCTCATTGTCTCTTGTCTTTTCAGGTTTCCCATTGCTTCTCATTGTCTCTTGTCTTTTCAGGTTTCCCATAGCTTCTCTCAATTCCCCAAGTCTTCTCTCACCTCACATGGACAGGACCATGCTGCCCCACTTGCACTGCCGCTGCCCCTCCCTTCACTCACTCCCCTCACCCCTACTCCTCACTCCACCACCCCTCTCCCTTCCCTTGCTCCTCTTGTCTCGCCTAGCCAAGGCATCAGCAACAAGCTAGCTGTCTGTCCTGCCCCCTTCCGTCACCGCGCTGCTCTGCTTTAAAGGAGCCAACACCATGGACATGGGCAGAACCATGCTCCTCCCTTTCTGCTACCCCTGCCTCTTTCCTCACTCCCTCTCCTCGCGCCTACCCCTCCCTTCTCCCATCGCTTTCCAGGCCAAGGCAGCAGCCAACAGTGTCAAGATGGAGTCGCTCCTCTCTCAGGACGTCCACCCGCTCAACTTTCACTGCTCCCTGCGCGTCCTGCGTGACAAGCTAGCCTCTCTCCCCCTTGCCGTCACGACCCTGCTCTGCTCGGAAGGAGCCAACACCATGGACATGGGCAGAACCGTCCTCCCCCCTTCCCCACTCATTCCCCTCACTTCCACCCCTCTCTGCTCGGAAGGAGCCAACACCATGGACATGGGCAGAACCGTTCCAATCGCCCCACTCCCATCCCTCCCTCTCCCTCCCTCTCCCTCCCTCTCCCTGCTTCCAACGGCTCTCCCTGTGCCTCCAGGCCAAGGCATCAGCCAACACGGTCCGAATGGAGTCCCTTCTTTCAAAGGACGCCCACCCGCTCAATTTCCACTGCTCCCTGCGCGTCCTGCGTGACAAGCTAGCCGCGCTGCCCCCCTCCGTCACCACGCTGCTGTGCTCGGAAGGCGCCAACACCATGGACATGGGCAGAACCATTCTCCCCCAGCTAACCCCTCGGTCGAGGCTCGATGCTGCAACGTGGGGGACCATGGGCGTGGGGTTGGGGTATGCTGTGGCTGCTGCTGTGGCGCCGTTAGGGGAGGAGGGGAGTGGGAGTGAGGAGGAGGAGAAGGGGAGCGGGGAGCCGCTGGTGGTGGCTTTGGAGGGGGACAGCGCATTTGGGTTCAGTGGCATGGAGATTGAGGTGAGTGGAAGGAGGCACTTCTGAGTATTCCACAGGTGGAAGTGAGTTATAGTCATATTCATATAGTATATCCTTAGTCACAAACAGTGGAAGCAATTGTGAGAATTCTCAAATGTGGAGGTGAAAATTTCCACAACTGGCTCCTGACAGTCAGTCATGAATGATGGAGGCATCCACACTGCCCTCAATGGTGGAGTCACGTATATCTCTCCCTCGCTCTCTCTTTCCTTACCCCCCACTTCCCCCCCTCCTCCCCCCATGTCCAGACCATGGTGCGTTACAATCTGCCGATAGTGGTGATAGTGATGAACAACGGGGGCATCTACGGCGGCGATCGCAGGGGGCCCGTCAGCCTCCCAGACAACACTCGCAGCGACCCACCGCCCACCTCCTTTGTGGAAGGCGCCCGTTACGACCGCATGATGGAAGCGTTCGGAGGACGCGGTTACCACGTTACCACGGTGCAGGAGCTGGGAGCGGCGCTGGAGCAGGCGTTTGGGGAGAGGAAGCCTGCAGTGGTGAATGTGGTGATTGATCCCCTCGCTGGTGCTGAAAGTGGTCGCTTGACCCACAAGAATTAATTTGTGAGGATAGGGTGCAGTTACCATGTTGCCACCGGGCGGGAGCTGGAAAAGTTGCACGAGCAGGCGTTTGGGGAGAGGAGGCCTGCGGTGGTGAATGTGGTGGTTGATCCCTTGGCTGGGGCTGAAAGTGGTCGCTTGACCCACAAGAATTGAGTAGTGAGGATAGGATGCGGTTACCATGTTACCACGGTGCGAGAGCTGGAAGCGGTGTTTTGAATGGGCGGTTGGGGAGAGGAGGCCTGCAGTGGTGAATGTGGTGGTTGATCCCTTGGCTGGTGCTGAGATCGGTTGCCTCACTCACAAGAACTAATTAGTGGGCCGTCGTGTAGGAAAGGGTTCTCGAGAGCCTGCATATAAAAGGCATTGTGATGAGAGGTAGCTTCGCAGAGAGTAGTCCTAGGCACAGCTGCACCCAGTTACGGTATGAGAGATTAGTTTGAGCTACTGTACTTCTGCTTATTGTTATGAAGGGTGGCATGGTAGCTGTATGCTGCAAGCCACGAGAATCGTTCTTGGAACATACCAAAAGCAATATAATAAATAGAATTCCTACATTCCTCCTCCCTGAAAAAAGCTACGCTATGCATGATCTACAGTGAACAGCTACTGGAAGGTCTCAGATAGTCCGCATAGCTTCAATAACCGCCAGCCAGCCGCGCATTTGACAAGCTTCTCCTTGCCGGCTCTTTTCAAGCATCCATCCCTTGCCGTCTCTTCTCAAGCATCCATCCCTTGCCGTCGTCTGTCGAATGGTACACGTGACACCGCCCCACCACGTTCCTCTATTCTCAAACGCCACGTTCAGAGCTTCAGCCACCTGCGTCACGCACGCATCATCGCCACCAGAACATGCACGCTCGCCAGTGCCCCTGCTGTACCACGTCAGGGCTGCTCACTGTGCCCCAAACGCCTTCCACCTGAGCCTCCCCTCCTCTCTTTCAATAAACCCCACCAGCACACGCACACTCGCCAGCGCTGCGGCCGTATTTTGCGCCATTCAAGGCCGTTCACTGTGCTTTGAACAATTGCCACCTGAGCCTCTCCTCCTCCCCTTCTATAAAAGCCACCAGCACACGCACGCTCGCCAGAGCTGCTGCCGTCTCCTCAGGCGCATCAAATGCAAACGCCACCCTGTCACCCGTCTGCCTGTCCGTCACTGTAAACTGCTGCCCCCCGCGCACCCGGGACACCTCATACCGTGCATCTCCCGTATCCCCTGTATCTCCCCCAACCCCCTGCCCCCTCCCCCACACCTCCCCTCCATGCCCTCCCCCATTTCGCTCACTGTCCCCACCACTGCTCGCCTCCTCCCACACGATCTCATAAGCAAATAAATCCACTCCTTCCCCTGTTTCTCCGCCCCCTCCTCCTGCTTCCCCCTCCTCCCCAGCCCCCGCTCTCCCCCCACCTCCTCCTCTGCCTCCCCTCCTCCCACCCCTCCCTCTCCCTCTCCCTTTCCCTCTCCCACTCCCCCGTCCCGCCCCACCATACCCTCTCTGCTTCAGCCTATTAGCCTGGTGGTGGCCCAGCAGCTGAATCGCCCCCATGAAGGCTGCTTGCCTCTGTGCCTCATCCAACCCCTCCCCTAGAACCACGGTCGTTTTCGTTGCTGTGAACACCACAGCTGCTTGCCTCCTTGCTGGCCGCTGCACCCTGTTTCTCACCCCCAGCTCCTGCTGCTCCCCTCTGTCCCCTTCTTCCCCTCCTTCTCCCGCCCTCCCTCCCGCTCCCCCTCCCCCTCCACCGTCCTCCCTCGCCCTTGCCTGCACATCCACGCTCCCCTCCCATCGTCCACCCTCTCCCCTTGAAATTCCCTCTTCCCTTCTCCCTTCATCGTCCTTCATAGATTCCTTTGCTCCTTCCTCCGCCGTCCCTTCTGCACCCCTCATATCTTTCACTGTCCCCCCCTCTGCCCTCCTCCCATCTTCCACTCTAGCACTAGCATCCGCCGTATGACTTCTCCGCTTCCCCCTCACAGCTCCCCCCCTCATCTTCCCCTTGCCCTTCCCCCTCTGCCCCTCTACCTCTCCCCAGTCCTTCCTGTTCCCTCCCCCCAACTCTGCCCTATCACCCCCAGGCATAGCAGCATGAGCAGCAGGGGAAGCAGGGGGAGCAAGGGAGGCAGAAGGAGGGGAGTGGTGCGGAGAGAGGGAGGGGGAGGGGTGGGCGCGGATGGGGAGCGGGGGGAGGGGGAGGAGGGGACCCAATGGGGGGAGGAGGAGGTAGGTGGTGGGGGCGGGAGCGCATGTGAGGGGAACCGGGGGAGAGGGTAGGAGGGGGAGCGGTGGGAGCGGTGGGAAGGGGCAGGAATGGGTTTGGTAACAGGTGGTAATGATGATACTGGTGGCATGGGTGGTTTGGTGGGATGGCATGTCACAGCCGTTCTTCTGAAGGGGGATGAACCCTTTATCTCCTGCACCTGTGCACCCATTGCACTGTCATCACTGCTCTTGCTCTTACACTCACTACCGCTCCCACTCTCACTCCCGCTCTCACTCCCACTGTCGCTCCCACTCCCACTATCGCTCGAACTCCCACTGCTACTCGAATTCTCACTATCACTCCCACTCGCGCTACCACTCTCACCAGAACCAGCACTGCTCGACTTCTCATTCGCTCCCCTTTCCTCCTCCCTTCCCTCACTCTCCTCCTCTCCACCTCCCTCCCTGCACCCATCCCTCTCCCTCTTCCGTACCTCAGGTTTCCCCACCTGCCGAGGCACACCAGCACTCGTAAAGCCCACTTTCCCTTTCTGTTCAGCCAGCTCTATTTCCCTCCCTTGCTGACGCGCGCCCATCTGTCTAATTTCGACCGAATCACTCGTCACCACCTTTCGAGGCGTTGCACAAGTCATTTCACCTGGGTTTGTCTTTCTTTGAGGCGCCTCAAAGCAAGACACCACCTTTCGAGGCATTGCAGAGGTAACTTCAACCAAATTCGTCTTTCCCACCTGCTGCACCTCCGTTCTCCTCTTCTTCTTGGGAACAGGGAAGCACAGGCCGTTTGTCTCATCACCCCCCCGGAAGCTTGCACCAGAGGCGGATGGAGCAGCAGATGCAGCAGCACCGGCAGCATCAGAAGAATCAGAATCAGGATCAGGAGCGACATGAGCAGTATCAGCAGGAGAAGCTGCCCTTTTAAACGCAGCAGCACCGCTAGCAGCAGGCCGGAAAGACGGGCCGCTGGCAGCAGCACCGGAATGGGATGCGTCAACAGCAGCACCGGAATGAGATGCGTCAGCAGAAGCAGGACCAGACACAGGAGCACTGGCCACAGATGGAGCTGCAGAAACAGAGGGCGAGAGAGAAACCTGACTCCAAGGTACCCTGCTCTTTCCCTGCTGTGCCCCCTTCGGGAGAGCCCTCCCCTTGCCCAGAACGCCTGTCGCCTTCTTCTCCCCACCCCACCTGCCCTCACACTTTCCTTTACCACTCTTGCTTTTCTGCGCCGCTGTTTTAACAGCAGCTGTAGCTGCGCCAGCTGTAGCAGCAGCAGCGGTAGCCGCACCAGCAGCGGCTGTTGCGGCAGCAGCTGCAGCAGCAGCAGGACCAGCAGCACCAGCTGCACGACGGGCTGTAGCGGCTGTAGTAGCAGCAGCAGCAGCAGTGGTGGTGGTGGTGGTGGTGGTGATGGTGGTGACTCGCATGAGCTCCTTGAGGCTGCGGCACCGCGGCCGCCTCCTGCTGCAGTCCGCTCCCACCAACCACTCGTCCTCCCACTCCCACTGCTTGCCCTGCCCCTCCTGCTTCATCTGCTCCGCCTGCTTGCCCTGCTCCTCCTGCTTGCCCTGTTTCTCCTGTTTCTTCTGCTCCTCCTGCTCGCTCCATTCCTGCGCCTCTTGCTTGCACGCCAGTGCCGGTTGGCATTCTCCTTCCTTCTTACTGACTTCCCGCTGTCCCTCGTCCACACCCTCTGTCTTTTTCCCTTCGTCCCTGCACTCTGCTAGCTGCTCCTTGTCACTGCAGGGCGCTCTCTCTTCTTGCTTGCTACCGTGACCATCACTACCATCACTACCAGCACCATCAGCACCATCAGCACCATCAGCACCATCAGCACCATCAGCACCATCAGCACCATCAGCACCATCAGCAGCAGCAGAAGATTTTACTATAGCTGCTGCTGTTGTCGTTGCCACCGCTGACTGTGCTGCTTCGTTGGAAGTCAGGTTCTTTCCACCAGTACTGCCTGCGATCCCTCCCCCAGATGCTGCTGCCTCTGTCACCGGATCAGCACCATCCACCACCACAGCCCCACCTGCACTGCCCGTCTTTTTCTCCTCACCTGCATCCCGCTTCTTTGCTCGCTTGGCTGCTGGCTCTGCTGCTGCCACTCGCACTCCTCGCTTTCCTTTCCTCTCTTTGTCTGGCTTCTCTCCCCTATTGCTTGCATCAAATAACAAGTGCGCCACTGCTCCTGCTTCTGAATCTGCTCCTGCTCTTGCTGCTTTGACTCCCGCTTCTGCTGCATCTGCTTCCGCTGCTGCTGCCGCATCTTGTCCTGCTCCTGCTCCTCCTGTTGATGCATCCGTGCGTTGTGCCTCCCCTGCTGCCTGTGCCTCCCCTGCTGCCTGTGCCTCCACACATTTCGCCCAGCCCACATCCTGCAACCCTCTCCCACTGCCTCTCAGTGCATCGCTGCACACAGCAGCAGCACTGCTGCCATCCACCGGCCTCTCCTCCCCTCCTTTGCGCCTGCCCTGCCCTTGCTCCTCGCCCTCATCTCTGCGGCATCGGCCCTCCTCCACCGTCTCCCCACCCGCCTCTCTTAACCGGGCCAACGCGCCTTCGACCCCACCTCTCCTGCTGCCTCTCCCTGCCCTTGCTGCTCTCCTCCCACCCCATCCTGCTCCTGCCTGCTTTGCTGCTTCTCCTTCCCCTAATGCCTTCCCTAACACTACCCCTCCTGCTGCCGCTTCCCCTCGTGCTTCCGCCTCTCTTTCTGCTGCTGCCACCGCACCGACTGCTCTCAGTCCTAATGCGTCAAGTGTGCAACGCTCG